CGTCTCAGGACTTAATCCTTATTTACGATAATAATTTATTTGATGTGTGTGCCTGATATTACAATATCCAAAATTATAAAATATTTTAAACAGTATTTTTTCTATCTCGTCCAATAATTTATACGTTGGCGTTTGAAATAAAAAAAATATTTAACTCTCACAAAATTAATAAAACATGTCCTATAGAAGAAAAAATTCGTAGTGAAAGAATTTACTCCAAAACCATTCTTATATCATATATCACGTAATTTTCTAATTACTTTCTAATTACTTTTTAATAATATATTGACATATGTACAAGACGTGAGGCAACTACTACGTATGATTTTTGCTTAAAACATAATCGATGGTATATCATCCTTAACTAAAACCCAATCTTCTTCTTCTTCGAGAACGGATGTGGCGCATTCCTTTGCCAGAGCTGCATGCACAAGAACACTTTAATATCCGCAGCTGATCGTGTTATACGTTACATATTTTCAATAATCCATTAATTACCTACCGTTAAATTGATGTTCTAATACGTCTTGATTCGTGGGCGGCTTTTTTCGAATATCAACAAAATTATTACCAGCTGGTGGAGTATCGTCCAATTTATTTTGTAAAAGAGTCTTTCTGCATTCCCCAAGTTCTTCTAATAGCTTCAGTTCGGTGCGATAACTGACATCTTCATCCTCTGATTCAGTTCCCGTATGATCGCTCTGTTCGACAATTTCATTTTCCTCGTTCGTAACTGATTCCTCTTCGTTCACCACATTGTTGGAATGTATGCTACAATTGATGCATGTTATAGTATCCATATGATTAGATATACTCAAGTCATCCTTGTCTATTCGACTACTTGTCATATATTTAGATAAATCAAAATCCAGAAGATCTGCTAACAGTTTCTCCTTGTCTTCCACATCTCGTTGAATTGTTTCTAAATCTCGATCCGGCTTCAATATAAAATCATCATCAAAGCTAATTTGCATTAAAGAGGAATGGGTCGTCATTGTTTTGTTAGTGTTCACATGATCAGTGCTTAGACTGCTCGATAAATGATCAGTACCATCTGGCATTGTGACACTTTCGCTTCCATTCATTACTTTATTCCGAGATTTTTTCTGCTTCCTTTCGGGTGTGAAAACGACGTCCTCAAATTCTTGTTGACCAATTCTTTGGAATATCTCTCGGCGATCGCTGCTCTTTACGTCTTCCGCACTTTTTAATCTATTATTATCATTATATTCCGGTATTTTGTTAATATTAGTTACAAGTGGAGTATTTATATCTATTGGAACTATCGGCGGCACTTCCACAGCTTCTTCTGCGTTTATAACCACATCGTCAGTATCGACAGCAACAGTTGGCACAATGCTACAATTTGATTCATTACTTTTAACTTAATCATATTGAAAAAAAGATTAATTGTTAATTCTAATATGTTGTACAGATTTTATAAACATATATACTTATTTATTCTAGAAATAATTTTTTACTTACCCTACAGATTGAACAATATTAGTTGGATCGATTTTAGGAAAAGGAATAGCTGGCACTATACTACTTTCCTTTAATTTCGAAGTTAGTTCTAGTATACCATTAGTAACAGGTTTACTGTATTCAGCAAAAGATAATAAAGGATCCATTGTCTTTCTTGTTTCTTCTGTAAGAAAATAGTTTAAAGATAATTCAATGACAATCTTATATCTAATTATGTTTAATTTGGAGAAACAATAATTATGCTCACCTGCAAAAATATCATTTTCCGGATAATAGGCAATTCGCAAAATATTTCTTTCTCCTTCCAATATAAATATTTCGTCTTTAGTGCAAGCCACATCAGTAACGCGCCGTAAATCGTTTATAATCGATGTTATTGCAATAGTATTCGGATTTACTACGTAGACTACGTCATCACAGTACGTTATTAATAAATCATCACAAAACGGTAACACGATGCCAAACGAAGGTTCGCCACGATTCTTTTTCGATCCTTCGGGTGCAGGATTTAATAACGCCACTTCTGTATGACCCGATCTAACTGCATCCTTTTAAGAATATTTATAATTTGATAACATAAAATAATGATAACTTAGTATGAATGCATATGTATGTTAACTTGATACCTTAAATATGAGTGTTTTCAGTACAGTCCCAGCCTTATCAGCTTGCCATAAACGTAATCCTGGTCTACTTGCATAGATTAGCGGTTCTTGCATATAAATTTGTCGAGAACCGAACACTGCTCCTAATTTACCTAATCTAAAGTACCAAAATATTATATTTCTTTATTTTATGAATATGAGAAATTGAATATAAAGATACTAACGTTTTACGTTCTTTTTGGCCAACTTGTGTCACTTTTCCATTTTCATTTCTGTTCACTAAAATTGTACGTAATGTTGTCGAGACTAGTAGCAAGCCCTGTTGGTAGCTCAATTGTACTACTGAATATTTTTCGTTCAACAATTTCGATGATTTGGATAAATGCTACAAATAGTATCAAGTGTCACAAAATATTCGTATTTATGAGAAAATAAAAGAAATCAGAAAAAACTGTCGGTATCTACTTACCATATAAAAATCAATCTCTGTTAAAACTACTAAACCGTCTTTGTCTCCACTGAATAATTTCATACCGTTCTTAGACCACTCCACTGCTGTCACTGCAGTATTATGCAAGCCACTTATGCTGTACCTTTCAACCTTGTAAAAAATAATAGCAAGATATTCATACATCATTTTTGTATTACATGTGCATGTACATAAGTTTCATTTTTATAATTTACCTGTTTCTTCTGTTTTGGTTTTAAACTGTTTGGCAATGAGTCTGGTGGATTCTTAGGAATTTGAAAAACTGTAACAACACCGTGTTCATTGCCTGCTGCAACCATGTAATCAACTGTGGAGATCACTTGTACACACGTAATTTTGGAGTTTATATTCTGCGATAAGAGAAAAAGGATATTGCTCTATCAAATCAATTGCGGGTTCAATTTTATTTAATAAGGAAATAGTAGGTCTCTGAAATTTTTTTAAATACCTCGCAACGTAATCTCTGCAGATCCTGTTTTTCTCTGTTGTACCAATAAACGAGTCCATGATTTGTTCCAATGGCGATAAACTCGGTTAGGGCATCAATACAGGTAAAACTGATGTCTTGCATAAAAATACCATTTTGCATCTTGGCAGGTATCTGTTGCAGAAGGACGGCGAGCGGCGCCCACTCTCTCAACGGTCCACCATCCTCACACATAGGTGTTGTCATTATAACTATGAACACCCACATATTATAACATCACTATTCTATATTTAGAATATAATATCTAACATAGGGTTTATTTTTTATTCCTGCATTAGACTGCACTACAACTTTCTTGCTTTTGTCAAATATCAAACATACCTGCTTTACTTTAAGTTCTAAAAGTGCATACTGATTTAGCTACAAAAAATAAATTTGTTACTATTATATTACATTTTACAGGCTCAAAGTTTTGCCGCTGCAATCTTGAAAGAGAATGAACTTTTCCAAAAGATTTTGACATTAAACGTGAGAAGCTATATGTGATAATGTAACCTTTATTGTCAAGAGAAAGCAATTTCTAGTTCAGATTTCTAATTCAAAATTTCTAAGCAAACGATAATTAATCGCTAATAACGAGCGCGGAGACGCAGTGTTTTCACTTTAAATAAAGTTACCGCAATGTGACACAGAAAATATGTATGTACCTTCGTTTCAATCGAAACAAGGAATGGAAAGCGGAGATTGCGGAGATCGACCGGTGTTTCACTCTTTTTTTCTATTTTCCCCTTCAAGTTATGTTTCCTCCTTTCCTTCGCGGTGTGAGAGTCTCATTACGATAAATGTTCGTGATTATGTGTGCACAGCGGTGTACATTGCTGCATATGTGTATCCATCGACATTTCTAACGAACACGAATTGACACGACTGGAAACACACGCATTCTGCGAATTCTGTTTCTCTCTCTCCCCCCCCTCTCTCTCTCTCTGTTCTCTGTATGACAGTCGTGTTAATTACGTGGCAGTTGCAGCTGCTAGAGCTTCAGCAGCGAGCTTAGAGTATTCTATTATACTTCCATTGCACCTGCAATCCTTTATGTTCCTATGAGTCGTAAACCTTGCACGATAACGCTATCAAGAAATAAAACATCCGTTTGACGTTTGATATTCATGCGTACGTGATGTAAATCATATAAAAGCAATGCACGTGCACGTCAGTCTATCAGAGAATAGATATACTTCATATTCTACTATAGATATATCGTGACTTCTTCAAACTCCGATTAATTTAATCGATGATTAATTATGTCAAACAAATATCTGTTGTATTTTAATGTGGATAGAATTATTACAGTTTTATTTATTTCATATGAAAAAAAATGATTCGAAAGTTAATCTGTGTACATACATATTATTAGAAATAGACAACAGTTGGAAATTATTTTGCTGCAAATAATCATATATCTTGTTCTTTTCTATCAATGTTGGTTAACTTTAATCTTGATTTAATACTCTGCTGGCAAGCTGGCACAATCGATCTTTTTGTTATAATTTCTGGTAGATAAATTTCAATAAAATGTAAAAAATAAGTAAAATACAATCCAACTTTTATAATAAAAATTTGATTGTGGAAGTTTTTTTTAACTTTCACAAGTAAGAATTTTTCCGGATTTTTATATCGTTTGATATAAGTTGATCGCCAATAGTTAATCGGATCGAAATCGTAAACATATAATATGTATGGATATCTACTTAGAAATGTTGCTTTAGAACGAAAGTTCTCTCATGAAAATACGTCGGAATGTATTTAGTTGACGTATGAACCGAACTTTAATCTGCAAATGCAGGATGCGACGATCCGATGATTTGTACTCAAGATCGTACAGGATGACGCGATAATATTCCGTTATTCGGAGCCTATATGTGATCCCGTCGAAGATATGCTGTGAGACACGCGAAAATCGGTAAGAGTTCATACCGGTCGATCGACGAAGGAATAAATAAGCATGTCGACGATGGAGGGTTCGCTCAGCAAGTGGACGAATGTTGTTAATGGATGGCAATATCGATGGTTTGTTTTGGACGACAATGCAGGCCTCCTGTCATATTACACGGTAAGGATACCCATATGACTCGTTTGATGCATTGCATTCCCAATTTCTCTCACAATATATGTTGCACGTTTAACACCTTTTTGTTCTTCTCAAGTGATCTTTAGGTTATCTCTCTGATCTATTTTCTTTTGTTTCTCCTCTTCAGAGCAAGGAGAAGATGATGCGTGGAGCACGTCGTGGTTGCGTACGATTGAGAGGCGCTATTATTGGCATCGACGACGAAGATGATAGTACATTTACTATAACAACGAACTCCTGCAAGGATGATCCAAAAACATTTCATTTTCAAACGCGCAATGGCGAGGAACGAGAACGCTGGGTTCGTGCTTTGGAAGACACAATACTCCGCCACTCTCATACAGTATGTATACAAATGCAGACTCATGTATAATGTAATAAAGTTTGTTTTTATTACTTCACTGAACTCAGTGAGCTTTATAGCATACTGGAGCGTGCCTTTCCTATACTAAACTATAGAAAACCGTGGAAAAAAGGAAGGCAAACAATATTTCTGATTCTTTTCTACTCGTGATAGTAAAACAGCAACAGCTAATCAGCAAATCCCTGACAAAGAAGACAATACCAATTCTGCAAAGTGTCCTTGTTTAGGAATTGAGACATCTACACTCCTCGATGGCATGCTCCAGTATGTTATAGAGCTCACTGACTGAACTGCACTAGGAATTTCCTTTTTTCATCAAATTTCAAATATATATCTATTTCACTTTAAGTACCAAAAGTGTATATCAATTCAATATACATCAGTTTTTATTAAAAAACAGACCTACACATGAAAAATAAAAATAATTGTTACATCTTTTCTAATACGACGACATAAGAATAGTAAAATGATATAATGTAAGATAATTTTATTATTTATATAAATTAATTGTTTTAGAGATGGGACCCTAAGAAGTCACCACCTAAGCATGATTTTGATCGCAAGGTAGCTGAAGCTGATGTTTATCTTCAACTTTTGATTGAACAGATCAAACTGATTGAAGGTAAAAGGAATGCGGCTGAAGATGAAGAAAAGCAGAAGAAGTATTCTGATATTCTATCGCAAGCTAACGCCATGCTTAATTCCGTTAAACATACCATTGTCCAATTGCAAATTGCAAAGGTACTTGTATCTTTTTATATACCTCATTATATATCCATTTTTTTATGATAATTTTTATTATGTAATTGTAATTTTATATGTTTTGAATAATGTTTTTAGAATACGGCGATACCTGTTAATGGAGTATATAGAGGACCAACAAATTCTATACATGTCTCACCTTCACTTCCTCATGGTAAGATTTATATGTATGTAATACAATGTTTCTCTCTCTCTCTGGCCCGCAAGAAAATAACCGACCTCCTTACAGGCTCATTGAATTTTTCCCTCTCCCGTAGCTACTGGCTCTCTTGATTATCAAGAAGTACAATGAAAAAAACAAATGAAATAAAAATAGAAGAACAAATAAGATAGAATGACATTTTCAATGTCAGTTATTCTGGCTATCAGTGACAAATAAAACTTGAGATTTATTTGTTCCAAAAATATCAAGACTTATTCGTGATCTTCTAATTGAAAAAAGTCATATTTCTTTTTTTATATGAATGCATTGAATAACTATGTTTCTAAGAAGCTTAATTGTAGTTGCAGCTGGAGCACCAGAAGCGACAGTGCAAACTGGCATTGAATTAGGCTCCGAATGCGTGGAACCGAGAGTACCTACATTATCAAATGGTTAATTGCAACATTTATTCTACGTTTTAATTAATTAAACATATTTCAATGTTATTAATGGCTATAGTATCATGTTGCATCTTTAGTTGTTGATAGGGATCTACCAGTACCACAATTCTCATATTCGTCTTCTGATGAGGATGACGATTACTTTGATGCCGCGGATGAAATACCAACTCCGGCAGTCCAGAATCATATTACGTTGTAAGTATAAGTTAATTTCTATCTAAAAATAAAATCCGCCCTTTATGTGTGCAGTCTTTCTTGTAGTACATTAATTGGTACATTTTTTTTTATTATAGAGAATTCATCTTTAAAATTCGATAAAAAATTCGAAAATATATAAATTTTTTTTTTAGATATTCGGATAATGAGCGATTACATTCGTCTATCGAAAGTGTCACGGGAGATAAACGTAAAGAGCCACCTCTGCCGCCTATCAAAGGCGATGGATCAGTAGATTACGATGGTGAGTCAATACCTACATTTCAATATACGTTTTGTTATTTTTATTTTTCTATTTGCTTTCTATTTTAATAAAAATTATTCCGAGCAATCGTTTTATTTATTAAAGTAATACATCGAAAAAGATTTAGAAATTAATATTGTTCTATAAAAATTGTATATACTTGCAGATTTAGCTACCTGAAACTAGACAGGTAGGTATTTCATGTTTTGGTCAGCTTGAATGTTCTGCAAGTGGCAGATTGATGTTTCAGTCTCGTAGGCTCTATATAGTTTTGCATCCTTAAACTATCTCCACTAATAGTTTTTTTAAGGAAAATTATGCCTAGACGTAATGGATTTTTTGGAAACCTAATGATTTTAAATAACATGTTCAATGCAGATTAATTTTTTAAATCTCTGTTTAACTTACTTTTTATTATTTTCTAATTCTTAGAACTAGAAAAGGATAAAAAGTAAGTTAAATTGATATTAAAATTAATTTATATTGATGGAAATGGGCGTTAGACATGAAATACCAGCCATGTATCTAGTTAAAGGTTCAAAATTTCATGTTCAGATATCTACATAAAGAAACTTCATGTTATAAAATAATTTATATACAAGCTATATACAAGCCTATACAATTTCTTTTTCTCATGTCGTTGGCAGGAAATGAAAGGTAAGTACGTTTATTCGAGGAACAAAAAATGACTTCCTTCTCTTTGAAATCTATGTGTGATTTTTAATCATTGTTAAAAAATTTGTGGAATATATTTGGGTACATAAAAGACTTAAGTGGCAAGATAAAGTAGATATGATTATAGGATTTGTAAAGAATATCTTATGCATTTGTATTTGCAAAATAAATTACGAATAAAATTTATTAGTCATCTGGACGCACTGACTTTGTGATATTCTATTGTTGATAATGCAGGTTGTATTTAGTATACTCACCTGTTTTATCAACCGTGACTTATTGATTTTCTGCGATCGTGGACTGAACTATTTGACGTATAAGTTGACGTTTCGCAAGCAAACACTCGCGGAGTTCCCATGTCTCTTTTAAAGTGGTGAATAAATAGAAAAAGACAGAATGTTTCATTGACATGATGATGTGTAAAAAGGAAGAATTGTGGTTGAACTTTATGTTCTGCTGTTTACCTTCAAATCAAAGTGTCCAACTGAGTACTTTACGTTAATAGAACACAATTCGGGAATAAGGAGCTTAGGAATGGATACTTGGTCTATCTTAGCCAGACAATATGTTGGACATAACTTCAAGTCGTAAGTTTTGTGTGCAATGGGTATAGATGCGGTAGAAAATTTGGGTTAAGATCTTGCAATTTTTGTGTAATTTTTCTGTATGCTGTATGTTATTGTTGTGGAGACCTGTACGCTAAAATTGGCAGTATCCAGATTTTGCATTTCTTGCAAGTATTTTTCATACTTTAAACTGTGAATTTATATCTGTTGCAGCTCTCTACGAAGAAGAAAGCGAAACAGAAAGTACGTAATAGTCACATCAAGCATACAGTATTATAGAAAGTAATTCTGCTTATTAATATTTCTTTTCTTTACTTTTATCATCTACAGTGGATTCCATGGAGAGTCACGGCTCAGTCGTGGCTCATCTTCTGTCCCAGGTGAAGATTGGTATGGACTTGACAAGAGTTGCTTTGCCAACGTTTATCTTAGAGCGTAGATCACTCCTTGAGATGTATGCAGATTACTTTGCTCATCCCGATCAATTTGTGAGGTAGTTTTAATTATCCAGTTTAATAAGACTTTAATATGCACACACATAATAGGTCTGTTTTTTAGTTGAACCTCTTGCACAATTCATCTTTTTGATTTTTCTTTTCACAATGAAAAGAAAAAGAGAAAAGATGAACTAGGCAAGAAGTTTAGTTAAATAGAACAGACTTAACATTGTCACATCTGTTTTAACGTTTTGTAATAAGTTTTTGAAAATAATTCCATTTTCTTAAATTAGCATTGCAGATATGTCTACACCTCGGGAGAGGATGGTGCAAGTAATTCGTTGGTACTTGTGCAGTTTTCATGCAGGACGTAAATCTGGCGTGGCTAAGAAGCCATACAATCCTGTATTAGGTGAAATTTTTCGATGTCATTGGAACATACCTAATGTTAATTCTTTTGATAACGCTGCAGAATCCGGTAGCAAATTAGTATCAGATGGTCCTGTACCATGGTGCAGAGAGAATCAACTTGCTTTTGTGGCTGAACAAGTTTCTCACCATCCACCAGGTATAGGAATCTTTTTTTTTTTCATTTGATCGTTTTATCGAACTGCCTGTATCATACGAAATAGTTCATCTATTTATTATATTGTTTGATTGCAGTTAGTGCATTTTACGCCGAGCATGTTGGAAAAAAAATTAGTTTCGGAGCTCATGTTTGGACGAAGAGCAAATTCCTGGGTTTAAGTATAGGGGTGCATAACGTGGGAAAGGGTTGGGTAAATGTGCTACAACATGGGGAGGAATACGTTTTAACTTTCCCTAACGGTTATGGTAGATCTATTCTCACTATACCATGGATAGAATTAGGAGGAACTGTAACAATAAATTGCGTACAAACTGGTTATCATGCAACGGTAGAATTTTTAACGAAACCTTTTTACGGCGGTAAACGAAATCGAATTACGTGTCAAGCCTTTCAAGCAGGAGATAAAAAGCCGTTTCTTGTTATAAATGGAGAATGGAGTGGAGCAATGGAAGTGAAGACATTGGATGGTGTAAGTTAAAAACATTAGAATTTTAATGTAATATTAATATTCATTGTTAAATGCTGCAGTAGGACAGTTCGACTATTTGCACGTCCTACATAGTAAGCTACTGTGAATAACGAATATTAGTATATATTATATAATCATTCATGGATGTAAATTTAATTATTGTTAAAACAATAAGTTAAAGTGTATTTGCAAATTTATATATGACAGGACTGGGCATATATTTAAAATACTTTTATTTAAAGAACAATATTTGTAAAACAATTGTATAATTATAATTGGCTCGTAGCCCTTCTTTTATTTATTGATTTAAAACAATTGTATTTTCTATTTTGTATTTCAAATACTTGTATTTCAAACTGTCCCCAGCCTTGACATATGAATTATTAAACACCGCTTTGATCGAAAATAGCATTTTTTCCCTTATTTAATTTATTTTTAATTCTTGGTCTAATTTATATTTTTAATATTTTATAATATCCTTTTTTTTTTGCAGAAAAGTGAAATGTTCGCTGACGTGAGAGAACTTATTACGGAAAGAAAATTAGTTAAAACAGTATGTGAGCAAGATGAATATGAATCGCGAAGAGTATGGCGTGACGTGACAGTTGGCCTACGTATCAACGATATGGATAAAGCTACAGCGGCAAAATGCACAATCGAACAGAAACAACGAGAAGAAGCGCGGCTTCGAAAGGAGAATAATGTAGCGTGGCAAACAAAAGTAAGTGGACGATTTTTATTTGATTCTTTTCATCTGTTGCATAATTATTGCCAACCATTTTTTTTCTTGAACAGCTTTTTAAGGAAACCAAAGATGGTGGCTGGGTGTACATAAGACCTCTTATAGACAGAATACACAGTTCTAATGATCAATCGAATGTTACCTAACTATGTATACATGCATATTACGTGACAATTTTAGATGCAGCACAATACTAGAACAAAAATCGTGGCCTACTGCCTGTAAAAATTATATATAACATCAGGTTTAATTCAGAAAACGTACACTTTCACATTCAAGCGATTTTGGCAAATATTTTTATGCGTATTAGCCACTCTTAGTTTAATGTAGAAAAGATAACGCAATATTATCTACTATTTTACTTTTTGCATCATATTTTAAGTTTCATTTAATAAAAACGTTTGTCAATAATAGAATACGAATTTTTATGATATAATTATATCTCTCTTCTTCTTCTTTTATCCTTGGAGTAATTTCACACATAGATATCGTAAGTTTCAATTTATATCCACGTTTCAAATATGTGTACGTATGTGAAGTCTTTTTTATATGTATATGTTTATTGACGCTGTAATTTCTTATGAGAAAAGAAATGTTATGTACAATTTACGCAAACCTGTATACATCATATTGTATAGATTGCATGCCATATTGTATACAAAAGTTTTACGATGTCACTAGTGGACGTAAATAATACGATATTCTAAGATTATAGAATTAATTATTTTTGCGCAACCTCGGATTTGTTATTGGCAAATATAAATTTCCAACATGTAAGGAATGACTGACATTCCAAAATTATGGACTTCAGAAATAAATTTATGCATTTCCCATGCACAAAACGAAATATATCATAATGATACTTAGTATTTTATTCTTACTTGTAATTGCCATAATTTTCCCATGTATATACTTGTTTTACAAATAACATAACATTCGGAAAAAAGTTAAAAGTGCTTGAATGATTTTCTTTTAATGAGATAGACATTCTTATCATATATTCTAAAAATAGAGAAATTAAATATATCCCTTTCCAACAGAATTAAAAATTCATGAGTTATTTAAATGTTTGTCTAATGGGTTATTATTGTATTATGCTTATGAGGAGGAATATATAGCATATATATATATATATAGTAGACAATTATTTCTTTTTATTGTGTATAAAAATAGATGTACAGAATATATGTAATGTTTAAAAATTAATATTGTTAGACAATAAATTATATGACATTTAGTTCAAGATTTCTTGCAAGACAATATAGCCAAGAAAATAGTCTATAGCAGCAGTTCTATAAACATGAGGTAGTCGTTTTGTTGATGATAACAAATAATTTAATCCAGCTTCTATTAAAGGCAAACCTACATCATGATATTTAACATTCAAATAATTAGTGATTACAGTAAACTCTTCATTTTTCTCATATTTGTATAAAACTTTGGCAGCATATTTTTGTCGTAAGGATATAGTGTCAGTATCACAGACTGTAACATAATCAGGCTCTGTAATTAAATTTAATTTGCAATCCATTGGCTTTATCAAAAGACGATGCATCTGTTTGCCGACAGATGTTTGCAGAATAATTTCTTCACCTAAAATCTCGGTCAGCGAGCTTTTTACTAATATTAGAAAATCACTGAGTGGATTAGTAGCATTCGTAATAGACAATGTACTATTCTCTGGTTTATAATCTATGCAACAGTTCCATATCTTGAATAAATTATATGCATGAAATGTTCCTATGTGTAACAAACATTTATTACAAGACAACGTTTTATTATCTGTACATACATTGCTTGCAAAAGTATTTTTATGTAATACAGAAAAGCAAGAGCCATATAAGTAGTCAGATTCCTGTGGCTGCACACTATTTGAGACAGAGTTGCAACTGTGTTTACAACAAAACCATTCGTCAGGATCGTATTCTGCATCAGGTAAAGGAAGAAACCTCTTAAAACTAATCAACTTCGAGATAACATTTTTGCAACAGGTGCATAATATAGTACATTTTGATGATTCAAATAACAATTTGATATCATTTACAATAGACTGCGAATGAGTATTTGATTGAACTAATTTATTCAAATTAGTCATTACTTCTGTACTGAAAGATCCAAATGCAGACTCTAATGGTACAGTTTGTAGGCGGAAGCAGACCCAATTGTTCATTATATTTAACATGGATAAGGAAGTAGGTATAACTTTTACAGATGGCAATGAGAAGCTTATACTACAATTTTCTACTATTAACACTATGGTACTCTCCAAGAGTTTAATTCGAACATTTTTTAAGCAGAGATCTTTCTGCATAGAAATAAATACGTTGCAGGATTGCAAGCGTGGTCTTAGCTCTAATGTGATAAGCTCCATAATTTCATTTCAGCAATAAAACCACATTATCGTGGAGTAGTAACGCATTCCATAGTTCTGGAAATGCAATGTAAAATATGATTCTATATTATTATCTATACATATATATTTAATATATTAAATTGCATAATAAATTTATTAAATTATAAAACAATAAATATACAATAATTAATATAATGTAAGTTATTACATAATTTTAAAAGAAATATACTTACTAACGATATACCTTGCATATACATCTTTCCATATGACACGTGCTTGCCAATCACATATGTGAGGTTATAAAAGTATTAATGCTTCCACAATAATTTATACAAATATATTTCTTTTCGCAAGATTGCAGCAGAGAGAAACCTGTAGATTCTGTGGATCCACAAATTATTTTTCAGGAATTATATCTAAATAATTGTTGACAATGCTGCCCACGGTGCTATCACACATGCATATATTATGCGTATGTATATATATATATATTGTGTGTGTGTGTGTGTGTGTGTATAGCGTACAGTAACACCATCTACAAAAATAGGGGGAAAGTTTATAATTCAGTTTGGTGGGTATCCTGGACTGGAATTCCTGCATTGCCCTGGAGGCAAGTTAGCGGCAATTTGAGGTCTAGGCAGGTCTAGGGTGCGTTCCACTAAAGTTAAATGTGATGATTTGGTAGTAATTTATCACAAAGGAATAAAGTCAATAAAGTAGCTGTTCAAGAAGGATTTGTCTAACGTTATCGAGCAAGTACTAATAACGGGTATGAGACTGATTCTTTGATCCTTGGGATTGAACTTGGGATTGTCATACGAAGGTTATAAACATCTGGTTTCTGATATCCAAACGCTATGAAGACTCTCTTCGATCAGGCAAGGGTGAGTGTCGCGTGTGTATGCGAATGTCAAGGTGCACAGCTGTCTCGCTTGGACGATTTAATCACCCTCGCGTTGATTATACTGCGAGCTGGACTGGTATATTGTTTGATAGATTGTTGTTCAGAGACGGGAAACATATGGAGGTTTCAACATGTGTACGTCTAAGTACATTGATACGAGCAAATACACTCTGGTATTAAGCGTGCCTACTCTTGCCTGGACCAGCCTTTGTCTCGGCCTCATAAACTGAAGGTTCAATTAAACTCCTGGAGTACAGGACGTATATGCAAATTAAATTTTTTTTAGGTATTGCCAAACAGGGTATATAATTTCAAGACTAACCGTAATCATAGAAGATGTTTGAGAGTTAGTTCAATTAGAAAAGATTTATAGTTGATGCATATATTGAATAATATGCAAATATATATTTATAGTGGTAAGTCAATATTTATTTAAGATTTTGTCAAAGATTTATTTAAGATTTTTACAATATTGAGACGGCTTTTATATTTCAGAATTTAGATAATTCAGAATCTTCAAGCGATCAATTATAATATGACATAATTGTTAGTCAAGTGCCAGTGCAAGTGTCATGCAGTTGAAAATAATCATGTTGTACAATAATGAATGACACGTAATAATATATAAGACGAGTAATTAGATTAACAATAAGTACAATAAATGGAAAAGAGAACAATGTCAGTTCCTTCCTGCTCAACAAGTAAAGGACTGAATAATGAAACTACTAAGGAAGAAATAGTATATGGAAAATGGGAACGTTTTACTAATTGGGTGCATTGTATATGCATCGTTACTTTCGATCTCGAATTGGGTCAAGCTATAGAGGTGTGACCATACACATTTACAGAATTATTATTTTAATATTTAATTAACAAAATAAAATGAAATGCTTTTGCTAATCATATTTCATGAATATTTCTTTTTTTTATGTGTGACAGGCGATTTATCCAAGTCATATTAAATTATCGGAACAAGAGAGATCCAATGTTTGTTACTTAGCCTTTCCCGATTCCAATTCTGGATGTATGGGAGATACTCAGTATCATGTAAGAATAAGACAAAGTAGTAAAACGATGCAAGAAACTAATGCTCTCAAGGAATATGACAGGAAATCACCTTCTTTTCTACAAACTGATAGAGATTATTATTGGGGATACATATATTTCCGACAAGTGAAGGATAAATCATTACCAAGAGGATATTTTCAAAAGGTGTGTCAACAATTTGATGCAATTTATTTAATTTGTAATTATATTTATTTAATTTGTAATTAATATCATGCTTCCAGAGTGTTGTCATAATTACAAAACTGCCATTTGTCAATCTATTCGGTGAATTATGTGCTTTGATCGCACCGGAATTTTTCGAGACTGGAATAGCAGTTATGGAAGCTGTGGTGCGCGAGATTGATCACTGGTCTCCTCCAGTTCCAGGCCAAATAGTTCATTTACCTCTTATTGGAGTGTTATTCCAGGTAAATATATTTAAAAGTTATAAATTAAAAAATGCAATATATATTTCTATATTGAACATTAGATTGCAAATGCTTCGTTGTTGAAATAATGAACACAAATATAATAGTATCAATAAATAATGACTTTGTTTAAAAGCTTTAAATGGATATTTTTTTGTTTACAAAAATGCTCAAAATGTCTTTCATTATTCTCCACATGCCTGAGCATGACATATACATGACTCAATCATTATTTAAATTTATTTGTGTCTACTATTTTGACGACAAAGTATTTGCTATCTAATCTATTCATAAAAATATTTGTTCTTCCTTTTTATCTAGGAATTTCAGAGTTGGTAAAGACTAATTTTTTTTTTTTTAATAAAACGTACTGTGTTTCTTCTTAAATATATAAATAATGTTTTTAATGCTTCAAATATGCTTTAAACAGTGCTATAAAAAAAAACATATTTAAAACATATTAAAAACATTAATTTAGCATGTTTTAAACTGTTTAAAACATGTTTTTTTACCAATCCTGAGGAATACGCTCACGAAATTTTTAAAATATTTATAATTTACCTTGACAAATATATGTTGTCTGTGTATTAAAAGGATTATGATTATTTTAGACATACATCCCAAATCAAAATTACAAAGCCGCTGTTCCAACGATTGCTGCCATGGAGCACACACCCAATGTGCACGCAACACGAAGACTGATACTGACATCAGCCTATGAGGGCGACATGTTTCGAAGTTTAGCCAGTGTTGTTAGTTACGTGCATTTATTATGGGAATTAGTACTTCTTAGTGAACCAATCGTTGTGATGGCAAGCTCACCGACTACATGTTCCGAGATGGTTCAAGCGCTTATAGCGTAAGTATCAAATCAAAATATCTGAGACTTGTCATACATTTATAATGCACAACCGGAAAACGTTCTCTAGCATGATCTCGCCGTTGAAGTATTGTGCGGATCATCGGCCGTATTTCACTATTCATGATTCAGAATTCAAAGAGTACACCACAGATTCTCCGACGCCACCTGCTGTGATCCTGGGCGTGACAAATCCATTCTTTGCAAAGACACTGCAACACTGGCCGCATATCATCCGGATAAGTAATGGCAACAATAGCGGTAAGTTCTATGGCGCTTAATGGTTAGCGATATGTGTTCAAGATTTGATATTTCAGAAGATCAGAAATATAAAATCAAGAGATCTGAAAATCTGAAGGTGCTAGACTCGAAGCCTGGCGTTTACACTCAGTACAAATCTTTCCTGCAGAAAGACAAAACTATATTGAAGAAATTGTTCAGGGGTATTCAAACAAAACGGCCGGGCGAAGTGCAGACTGCGCTTTTGAAACGTCATCTGATAGAGCTCACAGAAAGCTTCATGATTCCGCTTGAGAGATATATCGCGACCCTTATGCCATTGCAAAAGAACATATCACCTTTTAAGGTATAAATCAGTTACTAGAGATTAATAATTATAGAATCAGTTTATGTAATTGTGATACTAATGATTTTTTTCAGGCAACTCCTACACCACAAATGTTCAATCCAGATGACTTCCTAGCTAGTTTAAGTAGCTCCGGTCCTCAATTAACTACAGGTATAAAAGGCGATTGGGTAGGACTCTATAAACGATTCTTTCGATCACCGAACTTCTCCGGATGGTTTCACACAAGATATATGGAGTTGAGTCAGCAGTTGCAAGTTAAACAGTTAGAGAAATTATCGCAGGCGGTATGAATATTAATTTTTACATTTTTTCATAATCTTATTATAAGTTCTTAATCAATATAATAATCCATGGACAGGATTTAAAAACGTGGGTGCAAGGGAAGCAAGAGGTGGAAGTAGTCGATATGATTCTTAGAATTCGCCAGAAATTGGAGAAAAGCTGCATTGATGACGTACCAATCGATAATTCGGTAAGAGAGAAACTGCGAGAGAGAATAAATGACATTACTCACGTATTGCCGGATGATTTAAAGGTGATTTTAAGGCATGAATCTTGACGGTACGAGTACGTTATTAATTACAAAACTCGCTAGCGTTATATTTATTTCTAAGAGCCTGGAACGTATTTAAGTCAACTCAAAAAGACGTAATATCTATGATAGTTTAAATGCTCTACTCCCTTCCTCTTTAACGTAAATGAATGAACGAGAAAGTTATAGTTTGAGTATACGATGAGTTACATTAAAAGAGGATGCTGTTATATACGTACTTTAATCTGTAACTCGTAATACTCGCCACGAAATTAACGGATTGATGAAGTAAATTCCTTGTATATATGAGAAATTAATCGTGGAAACATTATCTTATATGTTTAAGCATATCACTTAACCCTTTGAGTACGGAACAGTGCAGAGTGTGGCCGGAACTCAGCTGGTGGTAACACGATCTTTTTTTTGCATCAAATTTAAGTATCAAGAGATTGCACGACACATAGTTGGATTTATTAAAATATTTGCCTTAAACTCTTATGGTATTATTTATTTATACATATTTACGTAAATTTATTTGTACATAAATTATTTATGGATAAATTATTATTATTTCGTGGATAAATTAGAAAAGAAATGCGTTGCACGTATATTCGCCCACGATACTCAAAGGGCTAAGTATGTCAACGCTTTTATACTTGAATCATGCTATTTCGTAAATTTGTGAGCTTGCTCTATTAAGCTTGACTGATTATAGCGCGCGAGCGTTATTTGCTTTTCTTCATAATGCCAACTCACTAGCTTCCATCCTCTATTCGACCAAGTAATTTCGATCAATAATTTTATATATGCGGCGATCTTTTTTTGTTATCAATTACTGGTAAATACTCTACTTGGGGTAGTCAGCGATAACAATAATGATAATCTCATGAAAATAAGTATGAATTTCAACTCAAGTGGAATGTATGAGATTGAAATGTCAAGTAATGTACATACCTTTTTTGAGATCTGTAAATATTGATACAAATGATACGTATATAATAAAAATTTATTTTAATATACATAATAAGATATTAAATTAAATATTATATTTATATCTACATGTAAACGATTTGATATGAGTATTATAAAATTTTTATATCTTTTTTCCATAAAGATCTTTATTTAAAAATATTTTATTAGGATGGTATTTTGTAATTAGGTAATTTTGTTGAAAACGGGGTGCTAAGGTAGAAGAAACATTAGCTTATAAGAGGTAATATTTTATTTTATTTTATTTCTTACGACTTTTTTATTGTTACATTCTCCCAATTACATTAATAATTTTTTTCAATAGTTTTATCTTAATGCTTGCGTCATTATATTCTCATTATAATATTCATAATATATTATCATACTTTCAATAGAGTCTCAACAACACACATATATATGTATATATTTATCGCGCAAGTGTGACAAATATATACATATATATATATTTATCCATATGTATACATGTATACATATACATATATGTATATATAGGTATCGGGTGTATGTTCATTTTCATTTTCTTTTTATGAGTGTGAATGCACAGTACCGTAGGATAGCTTTATTACACAATTAATTCACAGAGTTCACTTTATTATTCTGCCGAAGTACACCTCGATTTCTGGCCATCGCGTTTATCTCCTGTCGTTTTCGCGGAAGATAGGACGACGTTTCTGCGCGCGAAAAATTTTATGTCATATATAAATCTCGCGTTTTTTTTTTAAATCACTTCGGCCGGTGTGTGAGAGAGAGAAAGAGACGGAGAAATTCTTTTTCTCGCGATTTTATATATTTGTACAGTCGAAGGATTTGGGAGGAAGAGGAACAAAGGTTTTGTTTTCTTGGGCTCCCTCGAGAACCCGCGCATAATAATAAAGAGAGCGGATAAATGCGATTATCGCCTTTGCTTTACTTCGACAGACTTAGGCCTGGGTGAATTGCGCCTCCTTAAGTAAATCTTATTACAAGCCTATCGACTAAAAACACGAATGGAAACTTTACAACGAGCTTCTCTTTGGGAAAAGATGAACGCGGATGAAGCAGCGTTTTTTTTTTTATTTCTTCAAATGGCTCGCGCGGTCACAGCCGAACGCGAGCGGACTTTTTCTCGAGTTGTGAGAGAAGTATTGATATAATAATACATATCGTATAAGCCGCTCGCCGTGCGGTTTCTGGAGAAACGATCTTATCGCATTACCGCGGTACTCCTTTCGTCCCGGGGATGACTACTTGAAAGGAGGGATAGAAAAAGTAATTCATGGTATATAAATTGACTAAACACCTGGATTTGACGTGCAACGGTGTACGACGCAAAACGAACATCTCAACGGGAAACGCAAATGTCGACCTGCTTGATGATTGTTTATTCCCGATTTATTATTCGTCGAACGGGATTTACAGTGGAAAACGCGGACCTTTTGAAGGATTTATAAAATAAGAGTTTAATGCGCAAATATTTACTTCTTTGTTAAACACTTTATTTTTATCGCGATTCTGAAATGCATCTACTTTCCGCGATTGTGAAATGCAAATATTTTTATATCTTCAGTATACATTTACATAGACCTAACTCACATTCTTGTGATAAAAATCACTAGTCAAACAATTCATATTTAGCATCAGATGTACGATAAAAATATATGACGATAACTTATTCAATAAAATTCATCCGCCAAAATTTATTATAGGTAATTAGACACAAGTAATAAAACCGTATAAGAACAGTAATTAAACTCATGGGTCCATGTTCTCTTTTTTCCACTATAAATCCAGTTGCCTTCATTCGTTCGCTTCGATCCGACGTTTGTTCACCTTTTCGTACGTGTCTCGCGTTCTGCCTTTTGTTATATTCGTGCCATTGGCACGATAATGATCTCATTATAAGCGTTACTTGATGTTACGTTAACATGCGAACGCGACAAATTCTTGCGACCTGAGCTAGACCCGTTTGTCTGCACGGAGAAGATATCCCGATAAAACTGTTGTTCTTCTTTATAATTCACGTGAGGATACTACTTTGTGCGATTAATCAATAATATTTTTGGTAAACACCGTAGTTTCGCGTAACGCGAGATTTTATTGTCGCAAGAATCTAACTCCGAAAGTCAACTGTTTCTTCCCGTTTCTTCCGTTGGCCAGAGGACAATTGGACGGTATGTCACACCGAGAATAATGTTGCCCCAACAAAATGTTGCGCCGCGCGACTTTTCATGCAATCGAAACTGAAAACCTCGTTCCTGCCGGCGTGTTTTACAAGATAGGGCTTGAGTTCAAATATTATCGTAACTGTCTCGGATAGAGTTGTAAATCAACAGAGTTGTAAAATGCACATTTGTATATGTCATAATTGTTTTTAGAGTTGTTATGGCATACGTTTAACATCAATCCCTGTGCGTTGATTTACGACTCTGTTGGGAACAAGTTAGATAATCTTTGTGCTCGAGCCTTTACAAATGAAACAGCGCAATATATGCTCCATTAGAGTTTCTGTCAATGCAATGATTTATTACGATATTTCGTCCGTACAGACAACGCGAACATGTCATTCTTACAGCGTATAATTCACTTTGACACAATACAAACAACGCATAACGGAACACTTCCGTGATCGACAAAAACGAATTAAAAGACGACACATTCTCCTTTCAACATCGTCATCGTTGTCGTCATCGTCGCCGACAACAACCTTCGCATCTTATCTACGGATTTCGCCAGAAACATACATGCTGAACAAAAGACATCGCTAAATCTAGTGCCTTTCCGCTTTTCCAATCGTAGGACATTCCGCGCAAAGTCACGATAAGTTCATCAGATTACAGATATTAGTCGAATCAATCTTTGTCTTTGACATGTTCTCGTAGATTGTATCGCTTCTCGATCAGCGATAATTGCTGGCAATCAACAACGAAAAGCGCCGTTGCGATAAAGCGTCGGCTTGTAAAGAAAGGATGACGACCAGCGGCGCATTTAGTTTCGAAGCGTCCACTTACGAGATAGAGATCTTTTAATACATTTAAAAATTATGAAAAACAATTTTTTCATAATTATTCGAGAACCGTTAATTTTGTAGGGCGACCTAGACTCGCAAAAAATGCACCACCAACCACCGTAATCGTCGATCCGCACTCGAAACGGTGTCCTTCGGCACACGGCAGTGTAATTTATCTTGAAAAACTGTCGATCCTTCGATCACGATGAAGAGAGTTCGTATAATAACAACCGTGTTGCCATGCATCTCCGTCGATTAAGCTTCAAATTAATTTTACTTTAATATCACACAACTTTGAAGATATTTATTATTACAATCAACATTACGTTCTCGGACAAGAGCGCCCGATAATTGACATAAGCTTGTGGTGTTAATTAATTCATATGTTCTCCAACATTTTTCTCTCTCTCTGGAGTTACAACAACCGGATGTCATTTTGTAGTTCGGAGATAGAAGCACAAAGATTTATACGAATATATATATATATTTGATGAAAATCGTACGAATACGTGAGTCTTTCTGCTGCACCACCAAGCTGTAAAACGGCAGTGGTGGAGGAGAAAGGACCATCGTGTTCATCGTGTTCGAGGATCGTAAAAAAGCTGCTTTTCTTTTCGAGAAATTAAAAAAGAAACGAAAAGAAAACGATGGGCAGACTCTCTTTTCTATCTTTCTCTCTTTTATCCTTTATGTAGCTACGATTTTCACATTTGTCGTTACAGCAGTGATTTCCCGTGTGTCGGAAATATTTCGTGCGGTTTCCGATTTATACCCTTACGTTTTATCCCGATACACACTTCTCGAGGACGAGACGAATCTCAAAGAATCTCGCGTCATTTTTATTCGCGTTTCTTTCCCTTAGGAGATCGACGATGGATCGAAATAAAAGGAGGAATTCTTTTGAGACGCTCCCCTGTAACTATATTCTGTAACTACGAAAGGGCGGTTTCATGTATTCTATTTTACCGGGATTTCATGCGGAGACAGTTGCGAGCCAAAATAAAACACGACTCTCGCAGCTTCTCCATGTTAAAGAAGCCAATACGCGAAAAGAATCCTATCGATCTCAATGATTGGACTTTTAAGTTTTCGTGTCAATATACGACGACGATGAGAGATTGCCGTCCTTAAGTAGCACGAGTTCTTTACGTAACGAATGAAAGAAAGTACAATCGAAATCTAAAAAAAAAAAAAATTAAATCGCTCTTGCCAAACTTTCGTTAGTCTTTCTTCTTATATGTTAAAGCATGTATAGAACAAATTGTCATTGGATCAAATAGATATAAAATAGATTCTCCTTAAAAAAATAGCGTTACGATATCGTAAAATTAACGCACGCACAATATGAGCCTCAATCCATCGGTCGATTCGATCTCGTAGAAAATAAAATAGTTCATCAATGACTCGATCTTCGCAGAGTATCGCTTTGTGTTTTATTTTTCTCCTTCTTGTACGGCAATGTACGGTCCCGATCAGGAGATTAACGAGAAAATATAATAATGTACAAAAGAAATTCGCGAGCTTCTCTGTATCAGAGAGAAAGTTTCAATGCGAAAATCAGCACGCCGATCTCGCTATTCGCGCGGGATCTCAACGTGGAGCGACCCTTTTATCCGGTCACAAAGAGGATCTCCTCGGCTCACTTGAGGTCCTCGTCGTCCTCATTGGCGAGTAGCTCGTCGATCTGCTTCTCCCAATCATTATCGTTGGCCGCGGTGTCTTTTGTGGCCGTCGCGACGCTCCTCTCCTGGCCGCTGCTGCCACCATTATTGTTGCCCGTTACAACCTCGTAATCCTTTAGCTCGGCCTCCAATTCACGTTCCCAATCTTCTTCTGCGGAGAGGCACAAGCAGCGTTGTAGCTATTTTGCAGAGAGGGCCACACTCTGGTCTTGTTTGTCTGTCTGTTTCGTCTGTTTGTGTTTCCGCGCTGAATATCTGAGTTTCTTGTGCACGGAAATTATTTTATGTGTTTAAAGTGTGTACCTGTATGAGTGTGTGTGTGTGTGTGTGTATTGTGTAAATTGTAAAAGTATCAGGAGGAGCAAAACTCAAATTAAACAGAACTGGAGAAATCAAAGGGATGGAGAAAGAGAACACGAGAGCAACGAAAGCAAGAGGGAAAGGCTTCGACGTTTGTGTTTCGAAAGCTTTCGCTCTGAGTTCGGTTCGTTAAGCGCGTTAAAGACAAGGATATGTTAGTAGCTTGAGAAAGAGAGAAAGAGAAAGAAAGAGAGCGAGAAAGAGAAAGAAAGACAGAGAAAGGATATATTACACGATTATCGAGTACAACGTGATCGCGATCGTGCGTTTTTTCTTATTCTTTCTACGCTTATGTTTCGCGGACGACGACGACGACGACGACGACGTTTATCACACGATCACCGACTATATAACTCTCTGGAAATTACAGCGAATCGCCGGGAGGAGTAGCTAGAGTTAATCACGTTTCGCTTAACGTACTTGTTACAAAAGTGACTGACTCGCAATTACAAAAGTAATTAATATATCGGAATATCGCGACTTAAACGCTTCGGGAATGCGATTATTCATAGGTACACTATCGCGAGAATAATCCTCGTTGCGTTCTCAATCCTCAAGCCAACGGTGTCCAAAATCGTGCTATATAGATAAATATAAAGTTATAAAAATCAATACTGTACGCACGTGCCAAAAAGCGAATATAAGAGTAAGTAATTTTAGTCCGAGAGGATCATTGCGAAAAAAACACCAAAATAAAAAATATTAAAATGGATTTCATTTTTGACGACCTGTAGTTCGGGAGAGAGTAAAATTTTATATAAAATTTTATATAAAATTTCAAATCGCATACATTTTTTTTTATTCTAGTCGCGCTAGTTTAAACGCAGGTTTTGGACACCGTTACATTAAAATAAATCATCGTTCAAGCGCGAAATTATCTAACGTTACGTGCGTAGATTTAAAAATTGTGCGAGAATAAACTAGTGGTAGTAGGCATTAATATAAATATTGCAGCCTCTAAGAATGTTTAACCTTGAATAATATCTTCTTGCGGTGCATTTCCAGTCGCATCGCCTGTCTTATCCCCGTATTACGCTCCAACAACTAAAACGAGCTTACGGGTAATCCTAAGACTCAGCTCAAATGTACCTGGACGTAGCTGTCTCTAAGAAAAGTAAATGATAGGAAATAACAGCGACGGCCGGCCGTCTCGCGAGACGTTTTTCTTTCTCGAAATAACATGAATTACTAAAAATGCTTACTCAAAGTCGCTTTCCGTCTATCGATTTGTCCTTACCTACATATGTCGGACGATAATTTCAATATCCCCGACGCGGAAAAGTCGTGCGGAGAAAAAAAGTGCGCACCGAGAAGCGAGAGTCATAATTCAGTTGTCATCGATTTTTATTGGACTGCACGAAAGCAAATAATCCGATATTTTCGTGCACATTTTTACAAAAATCGTCTCCTCCATAAAATTGTACATAGTATATACTAAATTAAAAAAAATAGAATATAATAAAATATAAATGCTACAAAAATAGAATATAATCAAATATAAATGCTATAACGTGCGAAAAAATCGTATCGCTCATTATTTTACTTCAAGATAATCATGCTGCATCTCTACAAATCCTTTACTTGTATCTTCCCATCAATTTTAATATATATAAATGTAAAGATAAAAAAAGCGATGCAGCATATGGCGGATGGTGAATTAAACAATACGTATGAAATGTATGATCTTTTCAACTTAAAAAAAAAAACTAAGACTCAACTTTGCTGACTTCACGTGATAAAATACTATAAATGTACAAAATCCAAACGCAAGTATTAAATAAAACCCTGTAATCTATCTAATCATCGTAATACTGTTAATGTCGACGTTCCCTGCGATATTATAATAATTTTTAACAGAAAAACAGAATTCTTAACGCTACTTCAATAATTTATAGGACATCGCATCGCCGCGGGCGGGGTTTTACCGATCGCAAAAGTGCGTTCGTTTTATCTTCTTTTCCCGACAGGCGTTAAACGCATCTCTCGCATAAATCTCTACGATAGACGCATACGAATCGCTCGTCGGACGCATTTACGTTCTACCCAATCGTTTGCTGTCCGCGTGGAAAAAAATTCACCGCGCGCATAATTAATTTATCCTGTTCCGTTTTTCCCATCAGCGGACGATCAGGTGTCGCTTATACGGGTCGCACCTCCCCCCCTCTCCGGCAGCCGCTTTTTTCGTATCGAAAGAAAAATACTACAATAGCTACACCACCCACGAGAGTGCCGGGCACCAGCGGTATTATAGCTCGTTTCCCGGTAAAACACGTATTGTCATTCAACGAATTTTACAGCGACGCGATAAAAATCCAAATGCTCTCCATCAATAACCCGGTTCTCGCGAAATCGTCTCTCTTTTCTCACAATTTAAGATTTTCATTTCTTCGATATACTTTTACAAGAATCTGCAGATTTTCTTGGAACTTGATTAATAGTAAGGGGAGACAAGTGATATCGCGAGGTGGATCATGAGGAAAAATTTCGGATTAACAAATATCGCGTCACTGTCTTTATATTTTATTTAGCAGTAGTATATATATTTATACATATATATTTCTCTTTTATTTTCCTTAGGTCTCCATTTAATTAATCTCTTACGAAGATATACTTATAATTAAGTTTACAGTTTGCGCAACGTAATCTCTCGCGTTTCATCAATAACTGCGTTACACTTCCCGATTTCTTTATACTTTTCTTCGGTCGTCATTTCTGCTTAGTTGCTTATTTATGCTTTACAAAGACACGGAGAGAATCGAGAACAGGCTAGATTAATTGGAATTGATACAGAGAAAGAGAGACAGAGAGTGGCAATGGCAAAACGGCCAAACATACACGTAGCTGAATATCTTTTTGCTACTACTCCGGTTGTGTATGTACGTTATTTTCTTTCTCGTTCTTCGTTCTCTCGCGGAACCTCCCTTTTATTGTTGTTTGCATCTTGTTTTATTCATTACATTCGCGTACGTGCGCGCAACGTTTCGACGTGACGACGTTTTGTTTATCTAACGTTTCCTTTTCTCTTTTCCACTGCATTTCATGTTCGATTTTTCGCGATTCGACGAGCTCAGCGTGCCTTTGCAAAGGGCCTGGGCAAAATTTCAAATACATCTGCTCGACATAAATATTCAAAATAAAAAATATCACTTTTAACATTTTCCAAATTAAAATTGCGAGTATCTCGCGTTTAAAATATTCTTTTTTCTCTGTTGAATTTTTGCCTGTCCCCGACGCTGTTCGCCAGCGTTTCGCTTCCCACGTCGATTCTCAATTCGTCATCACCGGCCTGATTGCGACGTGAATTGTCTCATTTCTAGGCTCATTACTGATTCAGATATTAGCGTTTAATGACAATCAGTGCAATGACCTCGCAGTGTGACAGTAATAATAACGATATCCACGTCATAATCACGCGGCATTGCACCCGGCTATATATACGTATACGTATGCTTCTCTCGGTTTGCTTAATCCCTTTGCTGCGATACGCGTTACAGCGAACGTGCGCTGATTGCAAACTTGTCTCGTCGAATGCCGGAACTAAGCGTTCCCCAATGCATCGTGACACTTGTATCTAAAAGGATCGCGCAAAAATATATTGCGCTTCTCCCGATCAGTAACAGCTTGTCTCTTCGTACAACGAGCGGCCGTTAAAAGGTATGCCCTTAATTGGAAATATAAAAATGCCCTCAGAGTGTCCGTTCAAGACATTTCAGCCCTCTTCTACGTGAAAGTAAAATTCGAGAGATTTTTATATAAATCGAGTACTCTCTAAAGTCACTACAATCACTAACAACAGAGAGACTGAAACGCTACTTCACGTGAAAATTTGTCTACCACACTAATTTATGTTTTCAATGACGGATCTGATCGCCTAATGTTTTTAAATCGGACTTTGCTGCTTCTTACGCGCGTTCATTTCGTTCCGTAATCATAGAGGAGGCGTTTCACACTTTGCATACTAACTTCTTCGTCGATTCGTACTCGACGTCGCATTTAATAGAGCTGATCCTTGCGACTGGCACGGAATCGCGTGGGCTGCCGACGATCGGAAACGGAATATCCGCGAAGAAGGAACACGCTGTTCATCCCGTGGAAACGTTCGTGTCAAGGAGGGGGTGGTTTCGCGATCGAACGTAACAGAAACGGAGCAATAAAGAGGAAAAAAACAGAGAAAGAAAGAAAAGAGACGGAAATAGGTATGGGAGAGAGAAAGAGACGCGAGAAGAAGTTTCGGTATCGCAAGAACTGAAATTGTCAGTTTTCGAGAGTGGGAAGCATGTATATCTCTGAGGGGTGTGCTTTGGATAATGGCATTTGGGGGGCACTCTCCTCTTCTTTTAGGCTGTTGACAAAATAGAATGAAAAGCGGTCGTTTAGTCAAAGCGCCCATGTAAGAGAGAAAAAAAAAGAAAGAGAGACGTTTAAACGCAACACACGTTCAACATTGGCAACGACATGACGCACGAGGGCACGTCGTTGCCACACACTAAGAATTCGGAAACAAGCAATTCCTAAAGAAAGCACAGACAGGAAGATTGAAGGGATGTACAGAGAAGCTACGTAAGAAACGACACTAGCTTGGTGGTGATGGTAACACATTGAGAAATTAAGGTCAGGCTTTTCGCGCGGTGGCATTAATTTCATACTCACGAGGAGAGTACTCTTGGACCGTGTCGTGGCACAGATCGAGCTCTTGCATCGATCACCTCGGTGACCCGTTTCCGTTTTGCTGGTAAGATCAATGAATGGTACATAATCTCCGGCTAAGAAACAGTTTTCAAGAACTGCATTTCTTAGCCGATAACAAATTTTGCTATTTAACGAGACACAATTTAGCGGAACGTAATTACCTGGAACGACCTCTGCGTTCCTCCAAAACTATATTTGTAAAAGCTATATAATGTGAATAATCACATTCGATGTAGATCTTTTTTAAAAATCTAATTTTATATAGTTAAAGACTTGCAGAAATGATAATAAAAAATTGCAATTATATAAGGATTGAATTAGTATGGAGCAAACTCCATACAATTAGTATTTCAATTTTGCTTGGTACCGTTCGTTAATCGCCAGCAAATAAGGAGAACGGCTTCACATAATTATGCAAAATCTCGTTGGTGGTCGTAACTAATGAAAACCAAGGAAATGGGGGAAATCTAAGAGTCTCTGGATGTAAATCGTTCTAGACAAAAGTAATTCCACAAATACAATCTGCCGTCATAGAAATTCGGAAATTCTCATTTAAAAGTCAAACCGTTCTGCGAGTACCGCAATCCATTTAGGAACCGAGTCTTATTCTCGTTTCTTGCCATCACCGTGATATCTTTGCATCTTATCGGCGAAGATTATCGCGGGGAGAGCCACGAGAATTAGCAATCGAGACGGCGAGATCGACAGATCGCAACTGATCTCGTGTGCGGGAAAGTTAACGACGACCAACGATCAACGACTGACCTTTCGGTGGCTGCATCCCCAGCTTTTTCATCCCCTCTCGGACCTCCTCGAGGTCTGTGTCCGAGACCCTCATGGTATCGGATACGAACTCGTGACCTGGCGAATCGGCTAGCGCGCTGTTACTGCTCGCCGTCGTGACTCCGGTGGTGGTTGTCTGGCCAGTGGTCATTTGAACTGTTCGCAAGACAACACTGACGGCTAAACTATATGGGTAGGGGTGCGCGTATGTACGTGTTCGTGTACATGAGGATGCGTGTTATTATGTACATTAGCACGTGTATTTATGTATCTAATACTAACACTAAGTCTACTGGAACCTGATTTCGCACGCAAACGATCGGCAAATGAACAGGGGTGCCTCGATTATTTGCCGAAGCCGATTGCGCCCAGTTCCAGCAACGCGAAAGGACCTTGATTAATCTAATCGCGAAGGAGGAATGACAGTTAATTAATTTAAGCATGAGATATCGCTAAATTAAACACGCGCGTCCTAAATTTTCACGAAAGTAACTGTTAACGCGAGTGTGATTCTAAGGAATCTATTCTTGAATCTATATCGCATACGAAAATCTATAATATATATGACATATTAATACTATAGGACTTTTTCGTATGTGATATTTTTCAAGAATGTCAAGACCGATTATTATTATTCGGGACTGAGCCACGCACGATGAAATAGCGAATGGAATCGAAATATTACATTTATATTGGCGACAAAAGTCATCTTTATTCACGGTCTAAATGTCAGAGAAAGTCCCCGGGATGTTTCTCGACATTTAAGGATACTGCGAAATGCCGCTCGTAAATCTTAGAATGTGAAAATACGATTCTTTCATCATCTGAGAAATATTTGGGATATTCGTATTTCTTCGACCGAATATTACTGAATTTCCAAGCATTTTCTTTCCGATTCAATTTCTCGCGATACACTAGAACTGGAGCGAAATCGGATCTTTCCTCCACTCAAAGGAGAGACGACAGAGTCTTCGGTTCAATGATCGGAGACACGGTGCGGTGAAGAGATGGAACGTGAAAGAGAAAAAGAGAGAGAGAAAGAGTAACAGCAACCCAGATCCCTATTCACAGAATAATCTTTGGCTTTAAGGACATTTCAACGCGTTCGCCCATTTCCCCATAATCGATTTCCCGACTCGACCACCGAGAATTTTCCCTAATCCGTTAATTCATCTGCACCGATCGCAATTACATTGTTTGCATAATTAAGGATTGATCACAAGATAAACGGAGACTTCTACTCTTTCTTTCTCCCTTTCTCTCTCTTTCTCCAATACCGTAATTCCGATGTGACACCACGTTTCGTGCAAAAGCTCATGTACACGATGGAACGCATTGAACAGATCGTCGACGATCTACGTTAAATTACACTGCTTCGCCCGAAAAATGTAATTCGAATAAAATTCCGTATTCATCCCTTCTATCATTTAGTTTATGGTAGAAGGGATGAAGTCTTGTTCAAAATTCCTTTTGTTGAACGAAATTAATTTAAGTATTTATAGTGTTTCACACACACACATGAAAGAACATGGGGCTTATTAGTAATTATTACCAACGTAAATTATTCTCACATGAATTTATACGCACAATGAAATTATACATGAAGAAATTATTATTAATATATCGTGATATCATGATACATTATGTAATATCAACTTTGTATCAAAATATCAGCGTATCGATTTCATGCTGCGTTAACTTTCACGTGGATTACGTAAATGCAATGCTGTATGCGTCTGAGTCGTAGTAATCACGAACTCAATTTCAAATTCGATAATCTTGTCAAATATTAAAGACGTTAAACGGCATCTTCGGCCGATTAAATTTTAGATGATAATTTCGGGCTTCCCTTGGATCAATACGTTCCCAGCATCCGGCATGACATTTGCACAGAAAACGTACGCCACTACAGACACACCATCTCAAAAACTCCACACCATGCAAAAAGGTCCATCGTGGGACGCTGCTAATCGGAATTGCAAATTAGGCGTAAATGCAGCGCGACGTCGCCGATCTCTCTGCCCTTTTCCGCAGGTTGCATCTTGCAGCTTGCATCATTCAATTCGGCGGAGTTTACCTCGGCAAGACGTCGTGCCGCGACGTCAAAGGGGAAGTCCTGGCCGCGTAGACAATTGCAATTTTCCGACTGTTAATGAATAATACTTTAGTCGAAAAATCTGATCGAATATTACGTTGAGAATCACGAATAGAATTAACATATAATAATTAGTATCATAATTGTCTAATTGGACATCTTGATTGAAATCACAATAGTATAAAAGCTATTTTTACTTTCATTTAAAAGTACACATTGCTCAATTAAATATAAAATTTTGAATAGACTTTGGCTCATTAATATCTATGTCTATTCTAGCGGCATATAGGATATCCCCTTTAGTTTTATAGAAAGCTGCGTGCTTCGTAATCGATATTAACAGATCAGGAAGCGCGTCGAGCAACGATGCTCTCGAGCAAAACTGAAGAACCTAATCACGTGGCAATGCCAACGTCGGCGTACTACGCAAACCGTTCTACGTAACAGAGAAAAAAAAATAAAACAGAGTAAACGAATTACCTTGAGTATGATCGATGCTATCGGTGCTGGCGAGCGTTTGATTGGGGTTGCTTTCCGCTTGCTGTTGGCTGGCCATCGCGTTCAACTCGTAACCCTGACGCAGCAAGGACACCCGATAGAAGTAGTTGCGCCAGAAGTTCTCCTCGGATATACTACCGCAAATAGGTCGGATGAGTTCTCGAAATCGATAAAGGGGTTTCAACGAAGGGATCAGGTTCCGGGATCAGGATTCGCGTTCACGCTAATTAATGTTGCGCTTCGCAACAGTTTCATCGAAGTTGCAAACCGATTAATCGTCGAGACAATTAAATCAACATAATGTACTTATATTCTTGCACGGCACTTTCGCGCGGTAATGGGCTTAGCTTTAGCTCTGTAGCCCTTGACATTTATATACAGAGGTCTTGAAAGGGAAACGCAGTCAATTTCAAAGTGGTGAGATCAACTAATCGTTTAAATCGAGTAATAATAAGAGAGCAAACTGTGCATTAACTTTTTATCGATATTTTTATTGACTGCTCGTTATCAATCCATTATAAAATTCTTTTCTGACCTTTTTCTCTATTTCATGCATTGTTTTACTGAAATAGACGAAATTACGAGGACACACACAACAAAATGCATTATTTTCATGTTACGACGTAATTTAATTAGCTTTCATGTTTCGTAGAATATAAAATTAATTGAACATGATCTCCGGTACTTTGAGAAAACAAGTTCAATTAATGAACAAGTCAATTATATATATAATAAAATTAAATTATATTTTCATAATGGAAATTATATTTTGATAATGAACTTTATAATTAATACAAACTTTATAATTCTCATTCGTCGACAATGGAATAACTAACATAAACGTAACGATAATGTAATAACCAATATAATTATTTAATTTTTTATAATATATCATTGCGCGATCAAAATTGTGATTTTCCGAGCGCAATTTTATTTTTACAACATAAAATACATATCATAATTATTAATTTTATATATCGCATATAACGCGTATGCAAGATTATAACGTATACTTGCTTTATAATGAATTTAGCTTTAATTAATAAAGTCATTTAAAATTCTAAAGTAATGAGAATTAATTGAAAAATGTAAACCTATTATTTTCGACATTTTCGTGATATAAAATAAATAGAGTGGAAGAGCGACATTATGGATCGTTATAACAAGGCATATTTTAATCTACTTACACTTTCGGGACAAGCTCGAACCTCATAGCTTCAAGATTCGGATCCAGGGCAAGGGTGGCCTGTGCCATTGGCTGAACAGCTTCGAAATCCCAAGCAAATTCTACGCCTGGTGGTGGTGCTCTCACGAAATTACGTCGATCCTGAAATCCATGAGAAGGTTGAATCCTCGTTTAATTCTGCCGGCTTGACTAAAGCCAAATTCGTGATCCTTTATAACGATGCGTAAGAAAATAGCAAAGTATAAATAAACAACGGAAACATTCTTTTCTCAAAAATGGAAATATTTTTTCTAATTAATTACTACCAGCAGTTTCAAGTTATAAAATAATAATTAAAATCATTAAAACAAATATATATATATATTATTATAGCAATATTATTATTTCTCCACTGGAAGAAACATGTTTATTGTAATTATGGAAAAATTTTGCATATATATATATATATGTATATACATCGCATATTATTTTTACATATTAATTATACAACACTGTTCCAGAAAGTTATTTCGTTAAATTATAAAACATGACTTCTGACTTTTATTTAAGATTTATTTTTTGCGCTATAATTAAATCTAAATGCCAACTTTAGGCGTATAAAAAATGGACAGAAATGACTATCAAAAATATCGCATAAAATTTTCAATGCATGTTGCATGAAACTATTTTTATTAATGACATTCGATTGTAGTTTTAAGACTTTTATATTAGAAAATGTGATAAAACTGAAATGAAATAAAAATGTAATGAAACTAAATGAAATAAAAATATTATGAAACGAGAATATGAGAATGAGAAAAATCCAGTGACATTTCCACGTCATTCTTGTGATATAATAGTTAATAAATGCAAATTTTACCATGCACTGTTATCTTTGTGACGCATAATTTATAAATTCGTCTTATATCTCCTCTGTGCAAAATTTAATAGCGATGCTCGAAATGCACTGTTTCATACGTCAAATAAAAGTGCTTAAATTTAATAAAGATAGTTTTATGCATCCAATGTGCAATAATCTTGTGCAATAATCTTGTGCAATATCTACATAAATAGTTTAGCGGACAAATTTGTATCAACAAAACAAATTAATATCGTAGACGAATTAGTAACTATCAATCACAACAAAATCTAATCTCTCCAATAATAAAATATAAAAAAGTTTTACACTCTCTGTATAAAACACTAATTGATGAATAAGACAACATATACATTCTGTAATCATATTCAGAGAATGACCACGAATTAGCTTTTACAATTCATAAACAAAACAAAGAAATCTCGAAATGCGCAAGTTATTACTATATTGAAATTTTGTGCTGATTTGAAATAAGGAAAAGGCGTGTTAATAAATGAATAGAAATCTAAAAAAAAGTTTTAAGACCTTCAAAAAATACCCATTTTTTTGTGTCTCGAAGGAGTAATACTAAAGTGCTAAACGAATACTAAAGTATCCATATTGATTACGTTCGTATGACAAAGAGGATGAAAAAGATAATTACGGTCGAGAGGGACAAGCACTCCTCACGCAGCGCGTCCTCATTTGGCGCACCAACCCACGGTGCAACAGCCTCACCCTTCTCGCCTGTTTGCTTGCTAGCGATGAAAGCCTCCTGTTCCTTATTGAGTTCAGCGATCAGCCTCTGAAACAGAAAATTAATTTTCACGTCAGTAGCGTATCGCAGAAGAGGTTGAGGACAAAGGTGCAAACGCGAATAAAATGAGTTTTGAAACTGATTCTGGGTTATTAACGCGAGAGCGTTATGCTAATAGGTGATAGAAATAGTGCTGGATCTGCAATAAGTTTCATTTCAAAGCTTATTACCGCATGGATGACACTCTGTGATTTGCCACCGTTAATTCCTTCCCGTTTGCAGGTATTAGCACCGAGATTACCGAGAATACGTCTGCATTTAATGTGTTTTCCTCTAACGAATTGCAGGGATATGAATCCACATGGTTGATGCAATTATAAGTCATTTTTTCTTTAAAAAAAAATAGATTTTTAAAAATATTTCACGTAAAATTTTATTTTATACTCTTTATATAATTATGTAAAACATTTATATATGTATCTCATAAAAATTTAATTCTGTTACATATTTTTATTCAAAATTTATAAGAAAGTATGAGGTCAAATTTCTATCTTCTTCTTCACAATAATTATTTATACTCAAAAGCGATTTATTTAAAGATTCCTTTAATTAAAGATTCTTTTTATCCCGAATTTGAAGCAAACAAAAATTGAAACAAAATGGATAAAGGACAGTATATGTTACATGCAAGAAGACACAAAGTGTACTGCTTAATGCAGCGTAAATCTCGACAATTTCTTGCCACTGCGATCGAGTGAGAAACAATGAGATCGCTCAATTTTTCAGAGACGCTTTACCATGTAACCACGACGTCCCACGCTATACGGAAGTTCCGGATAAGAATTGATGGCACAATTTTATCCTTTGGTCGTGTTCCGATCATTAAACGTATACGTTTGTTATAATAAAACTTTCTTCTTGAAGAGAAGACATTTTATCATGGATAAGAGTTATCCTCTCACATATAAAAGTTATAAAATATATTTTATTGATCGTTAAGAGCACATACGTTGACGTAGAGTTTCGTCGTGAAATATACGTAGAAACTTATTGATAAATGTTGCAAACGGATTGACGCTGCATAAGTAAATGATGAAAAACGAGCATCTTGTGACTCAACGATGATTCAAGTATTTCAAGATCTAATTAAACTCGCTTTTACGAGCTACCTTTTTCTTAAAGAGTATTTCGATTATTTCTATTTACAGTAGTCGAGAGGTGTGATTAACGAGGGTCGGTTGTATTTATAAGGTTACAAATATCTATAAATCTTCTCCCACGCGCATTCGTGTGGATCGAAGGAAATGCCATTATTCGATTTCGAAAGAAAAGATGTTATAAATACATTTCTCACAGAATTTCTCGCAGAAATTGTACTAAAGTTGCAGAATGTAAAAATTTTGCGTAGTTCGTATAAAAATCAAGCTTTTTGTGTTCTACGAAGCGATTTACATAATTTTTTTCAGAATTTTTTTTTAAATAAATAACTGCGCTTAATGGCTAAAGTAGATTCAATTTATTTTTAAGAACTACTGGATACCAAATGGACCCAGAAGAGTCAGTTTTTTAATGATAAAATTCTCGTTTACATCGCAATTCTTGTTAATGCGTATCGGATTATTGATTTTTCATTTCCGACATGTTTGTACGCTTGAGAAAATTAAATTTAATTTAACATAATTTCTGACTATTTAAAGGAAATATTTATAGATCATTCGGGGTAACACGAATACAGAGGTGTAGCAAATGAAACAAAATTGGCGTGTTATAGATATCGAATCGACAGATTTATTTTCCGATTCAGCGTCGAGAAGGTTGCTATTTTATTTATAATGTATGCTTACCTGCGTCTCGTTTTTACAGCGAATAGTAACTCGAATTTCCGGCTAAAGTGTCACTAATTTTCTCGAATACTATTTTTCTTCGTGACAATTGTTTAGTCGATACGCGATTCCGACCGCGTACCATTGCGATGGCAATCACCAAATAAATTTGTAGCATTGTTGCATTATACACGGAATAGCTGTATAGTCCCAGCAGCCGAGAGATTCTCGATGAAATGATTGCAATGCGTGTTCCCGCTTGTAAGCGGGATATTGACTTCATCGTCGATAAATCGATTCGTGCAATCGGCGCATGACAGTAACAAAATATCAGCACAATCTCGAGACCAGAATAAGAAATATCATTGTGAGAATAGAGAAAGGAAGGAAGGAAATGTCATATGTTCAGAATATATAGAAACTCACCCATATATCTTCGAAGTGTGACATTAATGTAATCTTGGTAATATCGATAAACTAAGAAGATACAAAACGTTTAAAAAAAATTGATAGTAAAAAGGGTATAATAAAATAATAAAAAGCTAGAACATTTTTCAAATATAAAATATTAAAAGCTGTAAAATTTTTAGCTGATTCAAAGATAAAAATTGATTTTTAATTAAACACAGATTTAATATTGAAAAATAAGTGATTACATGAACGTCTGTGCATAGTTTAATGAATTTATAAAAGAATTATAAACGATAAATCAAGATTTGGAATAGAACTTTTGTCTCTGTTTTCTTTACGAAGCTTAATGCATTAGTTCGTTATATCAAATGTTACGAAACTTTAAATGTCGACGTTGTACTTCATAATTTCGCGCATCTCCGTAAATATATTTGTACGAAGGTAGTCTTTCAATCAAAGTGAATCGATATATCGTTTCTCACGGTAGATTGAATTTATTTGCGTTAAACGGAACATTAAAGAGCCGAACGACGAAAGGTAAAAGATATAGCACGTCAAATCGATTTCTTAGCGATTACAAACGAGCTCGACGATTAATCGCTTCCTGGCTGATTCTTTTCGGGAATCTATTTTACCACCAAGATATATACTATATTTTCACACCTTAATGTGCCATCGCAAATTTGATTTATAGCATCGCGTTGACGTACACGAAAAATCACTGAAAGCGTGTCAGCTATTGTATAAAAACTAACAAGAACTATTCGTATGTCAATCCTATGAATCTTTAGGAAATCCCATAAGTCTTGATTTTATAAGAATTGAAACTTTGAAAGGAAAATTTACAAAACAATGTACATCGTATTCAATCTAAATTAGAATAAATATTGAATCAGATTGCTTTCTTTTCCCACGGGATTGCAACTTTCAAAAAATAAACAACTCTTAAAATATCTAATACGATGCCATCGTCAATAGTTTCTGGTCATTTAAACGTTATTTTTATCAGAAAATTCACAATTTTATTATAGAAGCATCTCTTTTATCGCTATAGAATTATATAACATACTTGCATAATTTTTAATAACTTATCTCCTCCTTCCTTCTGTTTCCGATTGATAAAGTTGCGTAATTATAATATTGCATTTTCTAACTTCTTTCTATTAATTACTCGACTATATTTTTAGAACATTCCGGCTATTATCGCTTTCGAGAAGGAAAAGACGCCTACAAAATCGTAAGAATTTTATTTAAAGGAGAAGTCAACAATTTTTTATGTATAATATCAAGTTCTGCGGACAATCTATTTTAATTTCAAGTTTTTAATCAAATATGATAGAAATTTCCATTCGCTTTATGATCGATCTGCGACGGAAGCAGAAATAACTGATTATCTCCAGCGTTGCTATGAAAACTCGTTCGTGATGCTCGAATCTCTCTTCAACGACCTGACGCCGTTATAGAAATCCATTACAGGATCCGTCAAGCCAAGAGACAGCCTTAAAATAATTTTGATCATGATATGACCGCGATCAGGTATGACCGCGATCAGTGTACGCAAAAAAACTGTGTAGAGCAAAAAAATTGATATTGCAGTCACGCGTACAGAAAACGTGACTCGCATAATAGATCGCAAGTGTTGACAAATTCCTGCACTACGGAAAAACTATGAAGAGATGAAGCAGTTGAGGATGCCAAGGAAGCAAAATGCTATAGAGGTAGATACAAGAACATCAAAGCGTCGAATGATCATAAGACAGAGAGGCACACTGAAAGAAAAGATTGGCTGCTGCAGTAAATTAGATGGTAAAATATGGAATAGCATTTTTAATTGGCTGCAGCAGCCAATTTTTGGTTGCTACAGCCAATCGAAATCCTATACTGACATTGCGGATA